GCCGAGTCACGCGGCCGGCCCGCGGCGGGTCGGGGCCGGCGCCCCGGAGCCTTGCTGCTGAGCGCGCTGCGTGTGGAACCTGCGCTCCGCCGTCGCTCGTCCTCCTGGAGTTCCCCTTCGCTCCTCATGGGCAAGCCCTGGGCCCTGCTTGCTCCTGCCTCCCGTCTGCCCACCTGCCGGGCTAGCTGCCCAGTACAAGCTACCCACCAACGGCTCCACATGTGCAGCCTCAGTCCTGCGGCCGGGAGCCGGAGATCGAGCTGTTGGTTCCTCCTGCGGCTGCAAGAGAGGGTCGGCTCCGGGCCGCTTCCAGCTCCTGGCGTCGCCCGCAATCCCCGGAGCCCTCGGCTGGGGGAGCCTCTCCCAGCGCTGCCGCCTCCGGCCCGCGGCGTGGCCGTCTCTGCGTGTGAGGTGCGCGCCCAGACGTCCCTCTTTTAAGAGCGCCCGTCATTGGATTGAGGGCCTCCTCCTAACTTGAGTGCATCTGCAAAGGCCCTGCCTCCAAGCGGGGTCACGCTCACGAATTCCAGGAACACGAATTCTGGGGGCACCAGTTCACCCCAGTAGGTGTCTGTCACTAGAGCAGTAACCACGGACCCCCCTCCCAGGAAATCCCCGCAGCCCCTGAGGCCGAGGCTGAGTGAAAAAGGCAAGTTCCAGGACAGAAAGCAGGAGGAAACTTCCCGCGTCCGGCGCGCGCGCGCGGCGTGTCCGTGGGGTTGCAAGCGCACACGCGTCCTGAGAGGCCCACCCGTTCCCCAAGTGCAGCTACTTCTGTTTCTGTTCCTTCAGTTGTTTTTTTGTTTGTTTTTTGCATTTTCCCAAGTGCAGTTACTTCTGTGGCGCGTCGCTGAGAGCCTTCTTTGCCATCAGCTGTAAGGTTTTCATTTTATTTGGGAGGATTAGGTTTATTTGTTTATTTTACTGGAGATACTGGGGACTGAACCCAGGACCTCGCGCCTGCGAAGCACACACTGTACACTGAGCTACACCCTCCCCTGAGGTTTCCACTGTAAACG